AATAATTCACAAACTCCAGTAAATAAATTTTTAGAGTCAAGCTGTCGTCAAATTCAGTCTGAGTACGAAGTAATTCAATCTGAAAATAAGAAACGAGAAATTTTCATATTTTTTTTTTTATTAAGATTAATAAAATATTTTTAGTCTTTATTTCATAATTTATTTTTAAAATTATTAACTAATATATGTACAAACATGAAAATAATTTAAATAATTATTATTATTTTAAATAAGTTTTTTGATACAATTAATATTTTATTAGATAAATCCTTAAAATTACCTCAGTCAAATATTCGGCCAGCCAAACATAAAGCCAATTAAACAAAATGATACAACAGAGATTAATGCAGGCGGCAGTTGCGGTAGTGAACAATATAGCATAACTGGTTACCATTGGATGTCCAGAAACACTTAATGCAGTTAAAACAGACATTCTGTATAAAACTACTCCAAGAACGGCAGCCATAGCTACAAGTATCTGTAATATTATCATATAAAGTTCTAATAAATTTTTGTATAAGATATATAAATATTATTTACATACATATATTATTAACATACCAAATTATATTCAATAAATATTTTTCTAATAACAATTTTTTTATATTGTGGAGATTAAACATACCAAAAGTAAAACAACTGAAAAACTGAGAATTGTAGCGGGTAATCTCATCTTCCAGTATGGCACTTGCGGTTCTTCTACATTTATGATAATATTGACGGATTTCTTCTTAATATGTGCAAGTCTTGCTAAGTACTGTGGCCTAGGATATTCTTCTTGAGCATCTAAACCAGTTAAATCCCACCTATGGGTTATTTCGGCAGAATATTTCTTCCATAATTCAAGGAACAGTGTGGCTAAAAATGATTATATCGTTGTATAGTTATATAAAAATGTTATTCAAACATAACAATTTTATAAATAATTCGTTAATAAGCTGTTATTAATAATTTTAACATACCCCATAATGACATAAATATAGAGAAAAATACTGTCGATGGATTGTCGAATAGGTATGTAATTCTCGAATGTAAACACGTTTGCTTTAGATCCCAATAGTCACAAAAATGATCACATAATGGACACATCGCGATTGTATTGTTACCATTACAAACATCTTCGCTCGGTTCATTGTGATACAAAGTAGCGCAACTGTATACGAAGCACAAGAGACCGACGATACTAGCTGGAATTAGCATGTGAGTGTAAAATCCCAACCAGGCAAAATAGAGCCCGATCTTCACCCCAAAGTACTCTTTGATGTAATCCAAAGGCTGATAATGAAGGCACTTTCTTAAACTAGCCCATTCAGTATACAAAAGATATCGCATTGAGTCCGGAGTGTGTAGATTTCCCTGAAACATAAATAGTATATTTATATATACCGAGTGAATCAGTTTATTCCATGTTCTAAAATAATTTTTATAATTTTGGAACCGCGTTTACAGAAACTTACATCATGAAGCGGATACGCTGCAACGTATGTATGTTCGGATATCAATCTTTCGACACCAAATGCGAAATCGTCCTCCTTGGTTTCTGTGAATCTAGTTCTGTCCAATATAAATTGCACAATACGCGATCGAGTTGCCGATGTAAAAAAATTGGGCGAATCCAAATCGAATAAATAATCTTTATCCCTACTATACACCGCTGTAAAGTTCTGCTTCATCGTTGGAAAAATAGTTGTGTCGACATAATATTTGTTCATGACGCGCCGGAATAACGAATTGACTTCCTCGATAATAATGTTACTGCTTGTCTGAGGCATGCGACAACCAGGTAGTTCTCTCATTGGCAGTCTGAGTTTCAATATTTCAGCATATCGTCGCAAAACTTCCTTGGGCGCGTGAATCTTTATGAAGTGCAAGCCATTTGATTCCACTTGTTCGTACTCCAATTGTAGTCCTTCTTTTTCTAGATTCTTCTCAAATATCTGAAAATATAACGTGAATTTGGCATAAGACAGAATTGATATATACTTTATTCAAATAGTAATTTGTACTCTTACCCTTCTACGTTCGACACTGCGGTAGGTCTGTGCTTCCCCATTATACTCATCCCATACGAGTATGAAATCAACTGAACGTATCTCATCACGAAAATATAAACTATATCTTGTGCCAGAAACAGAAAGCTAGAATATATCAAAATATTATATTTATATATTTTTTTAATAGTAACACGAATCGCTAGTAACACGAATTTTAATTTTCCCATCAGCAATAGGAGTCTTCGAGAAACAAAGCAAATTTTTTATTATTCCGGATTATATAAAAATCTGATAAAATTCTGATATACCTGTTAAAGCTTTAATAACGAATTTTTACCATCATAGAAGTCGAATTATTTTACTTATTTGTTATAGATTTAAATTTATCTACTAAAATTCACAATCAAAATATCAATAGTGACTTTAGAAAATCCCAATTGCCAGCAGAGTTAAAAAAGTAACCGGTAATTTAACATAACTTAATCTATTATTCATCAGTTTTTATAATTATACAAAATTAAGAGTTTTTATTAGTATTATTTCTTTAAAATTAAAAATAACTTTTAAAATTAGCATTTTTAAAGGCATTGTTATTATCAATTGTAATATAATATCAATTCATCTTATTAATTATTGACTACAATTATAATTAAAAATATATGTTATAATAGTTTGTTATACAATAATAAGATATAAATGAGGAAAGAATTAGTGCCATATTTATCATCTTATTTTAAATTATAGAACACATGAAGAGATTAATTCTTACCAATCTTGTGTCATGTATATTATTCTTCTTGTCCGAGTAACTTTCATTTATAATCGTTTCATTTGTGTCATTATTCACAGTGGATGGATCATCCGTAGAGCAGAGATTATCCAAGGAGACTGCGCTGCGCATGCTGTTCATACTCATATCGTCCTCGTATAAGGTGTTACGAACACTTTGATACAATGTTTGTTGGGAGCCTTGGTTCAAACTGTTCTGCATCGATTGATACAAACTTGATTCGGGAACACTGCTTTCACGTCGTTGCGCGCATGTAAGAGAAACCTCTTCGTCATCTTCTTCCATCGTTTAATAAATTCGTGGATTGTCAAACCCTACTTTATGCAAACCAAACAAACGTATGCATCGTGCAAATAGAAAGGAAAAAAATCAAGAAACATATAACAAATGATATCCCATTGGTATCTTCTTGTATATAATAAGAATGATTCAAATAGCAATGAAAGTGAAAATCTGTAATTGAGAAGCTTCTCATATTTCTTTAACTTTAATGCATGACTTTATTCTTTAAACAAATATACATGTTTTTAATATTACATATAAATATATATATATATATATATATATATACATGTATGATAATAAAATTGTAATTAAAAATAAATTAGTCTGCTGTTTTCACAAGTGAAAATCTGTAATTGTGAGGCTTTTCATTTGCAACTTTGCAAAGCATGATCTTCATTCTCTAAACATACATATTGTGTATATATGCATATAGCAATAAAATCATTTATAAATAAATTACAATCTGCTGCTTTCATTTGCTAAAGCTAACCAAAATGTAATGTGCTTTTGAGAGTTAGATCAAGCTTGGATCCAGAAAATATAATCGCAAAATCCATTGTAAGCCCATTTAAAATCATGCTCTTTGTTTTATTTTTTTCCAATAATAAAAAATCATCGAAGAAAGAATTACATTCTTACCTAATGCTATCCTTAGGTCCATTTACCAAATGATACTGCCACGTTTATCTTGGAAGACTGCGTTTTAATCGAACTGCTCTTATAAGGCACGGTCTATATCGTTGCAAAAAAAATAGAGTAAAAAATTTATAATTATCATTGTTTTTGCTGATACGAACTTCGAAACGATAGTTACATGCTGTGTCACATACCGAATAATAGACATACGTCACGCGTGGTCATCTCCTTTTAGAGAACCCACCAGATCCTATCCACCGGACGCACTGCAGGTACAGGAGCGTACATACGTACGTGGTTATCAATGATAACAAACTAAATTTTTGAGCTTATAGTCACACCGTTTACTGCTGTTTAAACTATATACCTATTTCATTTTTCATCATACAACAAAATAATTTAAAACATATACTTCTCACACACACACACACACACACACATTATATTACAATCATAATTATTATGAGGAAATGCAGATAGTATATACAGGGTGTACCACGAGGTATATACAATTTCTCTTGCCGCTCACAGGAAGATATAAGATAGGATCGAGATGAACACAAAAGTTTCATATCATTTAGCGATGTTTGCAATAATAATGGAGATATTAATTTTTGTAATTATACTAATGAGAGCACATCGAGAGAAACACTTCAGTCGCTCGAGATATATCCAGCCTAGTTTATCATCAGCATTGGCTGCCAGCAACATGTTGGAGAGGCAAGAGGGGAAGCGCGCTGTTGCTCGTAATTGTACTCTTATTAGTACAATTACAAAAATTAATATCTCTATTATTATTGTGAATATCGCTAAATGGGACTTTTGTGTTCATCTCGATCCTACTTATCTTCCTATGAGCAGTGGAAAAAATCTCGCGGGACACCCTGTATATATAAGTTTGAAATTATTAAACTTTATTGCTTTTAGATTTTCGTTTGTTTACGACAATACATTTTGATTTATCATTTTTCGATGAGAGATAAATCATTCTTTTCTATACTAAAAATATACAAAATGAATTATTTAATATTAGAATATAAGCGAATATAATCTCCGCAAATGATTGATTATTATAACCACATCTAGAAAAGATATACACATGTATATAACGTTGCGGAAATGAATTTCCGCAGAGATACTACACATTATCGTAGGAAATATTTCATTTCACGATTTCTTTTTTAGTCTGTTTTATTGCAGTGTCGTTTTGTAAATTAGAAGTTTATTTAATATCCATATATGTACAAAACGTTCGACCTATATTTTTTACTAACAAAATTTATTAGTTATTAATTGGAATAAACGATAAAAATGTTTGATATTTCTCATATAAATATTATAAATACATATAATTGTAGTTTTGTGCAAGAAATGTGTGTCCTATTTGTCAGTGTCCTTATTATCCTATAAACATATTTGCAAAAATGTATTTCAATAACAAAATACTTATTATTGAGATATGTGGATTACATAAACAGATCTTAATATAACTTTATATATATAATAATATATATATATATATATATACATATTATGTACAGAAAGAAAGTCATATTTATCAAATTACTAAATAATATATGCAAGTATATTATACAATATGTTTCTATATAAATCTCTCCATTCATCAAATGGAAAGATCTAAATGTATACAAAGTAAATACATTCAAATTGTTATTCTGAATATTTTAAGAGATTAAAGATTCAATTTTTTTTTAGCAGAAAATGAGTATATGGTAATCATACTTCCTGCATAACTAATGCATTGAGTTCCTCTTCTCCTGGACACAACACTGCATCGATGTTATAAAAAGCAGCATGAAGTGTTATCATAAACCAAGAAACTCCTGAAAGAGAAGAATACAAATTTAATTACTTTCTGTATCATACAATTCTATTTCGAAGATACTCTTTTACCTACCAAGTACCCAAAAGACAGCTGCATGTGCACCTACTAGGTAAAATACAGGCAGTGAAAAAATTCCAACTAAAGAATACACTTGCGCCAAGGTTAATCTATGATTTAATATCATCAATTCTTGCTTTGAATGTCGCTGAGACAATTTGTAACATATTCCAAGGGAAGCGACAACTGCCAGCAACAACAGAGGTGAAGTAAGTCTAAAAAAAATAATAGACTCTCTCTCTCTCTCTCTCTCTCTCTCTCTCTCTTTCACATATAGTATAAAATCATATAAAAATAATTAATTAATTCTGTTCAAGTCTATTTGACCCAAAATGTAATTGATTTTTTAACTAATATTTTATTTAAGAATTTTCCAGTATAGTATTTGATAACTTTGTTAATGTAATTCTTTATCTTTTCTCTGTAAAAATGTATTTGTTATTTTTTAGAACTTTTATCATATTGACCCAAACAATATGATTATATATTAAATTTAAATAGACCAGCAGGATTAATAGAATTATTTTTATAGATATTAAATCAAATTAGTGCAATATTAAGTATTTCTTACAAGCAGTATATTACTAGTCCAATAAACACAAACAAATAATTGCTCTGAAAATATTCAATGTTCTTTACAATCCGCTTGCTCAATCTACTTATATTAGGTGGTGGTCTGATGTTGTTTGTGTTGAGGAACAATGACCATGGTCGAATATTTGCTTTTCTGTGCTCGATCCAGTTTTGGGCTTGAGGATAGCCTACAGCTATCTGTCCAAGTGGCAGCTGAGGTAGTTGCAGAAATTCAAATCTATGGAATAATATAAGCAGAAAAATCAATTAATACAAATAAATCAAACAATGCAGGAATCTTTATATCCTGATTTTCTATTCTGTGTTTTTGATTTGTTCAACGTCAAAACTGTTTTTGTGAAATATGCTCGAATTATTCACGTTGATTAATATTATTCATAACAAGCTCGTAATTAAATCTTTCTTCGTTCTTGCTAAATTGCTACGTCAACATATGGCACTTGCTTATAGGTTAAGTTAGGTAAATCTTAAATAAATCTAATCTTAGGTAAATCTAAAAAGAAATTATACATTCATTACCCATTCGTAGTTTTATGATTATCTGGCGGGGCCTGCATTTCCCCCATCGGGATTTCCACGTGTGCCATGACTTTCTAAGGCAAAAAATAATACCCCAAAACTATTTTTCGCTGTCGAAGACTCGCCTTTTGTTGTATGTATTCTGCTCTTTTATTTTAGTTCACAATTTTCCCGTTTATTTGTGTTTGATCCCACACCTCATATCTTTCTTTTCTCCTAAAAGTGTGGATACACTCTTACACATATACTTTCCTTTTAAAAATAACAAAAAACGTAGAGACGCTGCAGAACGAATAACGAACAAATTTGATGTAATCTACGTTTATACCGGGTGATCTTAATTATCCATGCAAAGAACAATGCAAGTGAGTGGCAGATGATATTTGAAGCCGATATGTATACGATCTTCATGTCAGAATTCAAAGAATAGAAATACAACTTATTAATTTTATAATCAACATGAAACATACGAATATTTTTTAGAAAATAATTTTAAAAAATGTTTGATCCTAATAAAAAAAAATTATTTGTTTTTAAACAATATTAAGAATCTTTATTTTAGACTACATATGTAAGAAACACAAATAATGTTTAAATATTTGTTTTTACATTAGATAACTTTATTATATATTTTACATGTGATTTTCTTTAATATTATATGTACCAGCACAGAATAACATACTAAGTTTGTCAAAAAAATATTTTACTTGAAATAAAGACATGATTTTTGCTCTCACAAAATAGTTTTTTATTTTAGATAAAAATCTTTTCGATTTTTTTCAGTAGTTAACATATTTTTCGAACTTGTTTTTCTTTAAAACCTGTTCTACAATATACTTTTTGTTTCTTGCCTTTTATTATTTTTTACATCTTGTTGCTTCTTATCCGATTTTTTGTTTTATATCGCCATAAAAATAACTTTGAAAGAAACAAGAAATATCTAGCAAAAAATACAATTATTGATAAAACGGTTGCAAAGGAGAAAAAAAGCAAAAGGTAAAAAACAAGAAATAGGAAACAAAGAGCACATTGCAGAATAAGCTTAAATTTTCGTCATGATTGATTCTCAATCAGTAATGTTTTCACATCCGTAGTATATATATATATAAATATCGAAGGCCGACTTGAGATCAAAGTGGACGTTCGAAACTTCTTGTTTTCTAATTTAAATTTTAAAATGTAGTTGTACTTTCGCAACGGATTTTAAAAATTATATTATCCTGCAATATTATTTGAAGATTAATAATACGGAAACAATATATTGAATTAATGATCAAGAATAAAAGAATAAATTATTAAATTCGTTTTGTTAAAAAATAATTCTAAATATTCGGGGAATAACATCATTAAAATTTAAATAACTTATTATACTAAAAAAGAAATTATAAGTCATGAGAACCATGTGTAAAAATAATTTGGATTAATAGAATAATTTTCTGAGAAATGCCTAATATTTAATCTTCTTTTTTTCTGATAGAGAACGACCGTCATTTAAGATTTCTCGCACGACGACTACTCTGGCTAGATTATATATATTCTTTATCCAGTTGAGATAGTGCGATATCCGTGTGTACACATCGGGGGAAACGTGCTTCTATTGAAATGTTTTTCTTGTGATCTCGTTATCTCAAACATCCAGACTTCCTTCGAATCCACCTGCAGAGGCCTATCCGAATATGCATCTTTTTTGCCATCAAAGTTCCTGGTGCAAATCGTGCTCGGCGAAATTTCGTTGGACTCATCGTCGAATTTCCAGTGCATCGCGCAGAAGTTGATATGATGCATTCTTATTACAGCATATATATTGTTCAATTGGCTCCTCAATTGATGATCGATCTATGCCTGTTTACTATGTAAGCATATTGTATTGTTGATATATGTATACTGTATTCGATACAAAAAGATGGAGTAATCTAATTATATTAATTCTAATTATATTGAATTATATTAATACCATAAATAGTATTATTTTTTTTAAAGGAGTTTATTGAGTTAAAAATTCTTTTAAATAATTATAAATTCTATAAATTACTATTCTTATTCAGAATTAATGAGATAAAAACAGAGAATGAATATACATTTTTAAGCTAAATTATAAAAAGCTAAATTAAGAAAAGAAAACTTAAAAAAATCTTTAAAAATTTTTCAAAAAATTTTATCTATCAAATTAATGAAAATAATTATGTCTGAATAATTTAAGAATTAAGAAAGAATAATTAATTCGAGAGAAGGTGGAGAAAAGAATGACAAAGGAGAAAAGATTTAACGTAAGGGCGCTGCTGCCGTACAAGCCGTTCCTGTTTCCGATGCCTCTTTCCACGTTGGCCAGCCACAGGTTGCAGCTGCTCGACGAAAATTTCTCTGCAGTGAAACTTTTGTCGCAAGAATGGGTTTATTTCTGTAAAAGAAAATAAGAACTCCTGAGAAGTCATAGGCTCATTGTACGTGATGTACCTTTTGTGAGATACTACATAGAAAACTTACATTAATTAATAAATTGTATTCCATGACGAAATTGTTAATGTGGTCCGTCGTTAAACCATCGGCCTTCGATCCCAAGACGAGGCGGTCCCAAAGAGATGAAATAGTCTACGGCAGATGTCCAGCCGGGCCGAACAGCTGCTGCAGTATCGCACAGTGTAGATAAATCGCTCGTGATATTCGGGCCAATAATTGCTACCTCGCGATCTGTCGCTTTTACATCGTGTTGATGATCCTTTAAAGAATTAAAAATCGATGAAACGTGCTCTAGTTATGATCGAATCACGAATGACGAGCGTCGAGCGATCGACAATATCAGGATGAACAAAATTCAGACTTAGCTAGAATCTTTCATATCCAGCATTTATCGATTAATTTAATTTAAATCTTGATTAAATTCTTCATCTTTTTCTAGTTCTCTAATTGTAAAAATTAGGAAAACAGTAAATTGAACCGAAATTAAAGTTAACTTACAATGACAGAGAATGGACAACAGTCTCCTACTCTGGGATTTAACTCTACTATTATATACGTTCGAAATATCCAAGAATATTTTGGCGTCCTTTACCCTATTTAATTCTTTGTTCTATTGTTGAACAAATTAAATTCAATATAATATGTTACAGTAACTTATCTCATAATTCGTTAAGTATTTGAATCAATATACAATTGTAAGGTAAATACTGACAACCCAGACAACATAAAGTATCCAAAAGAAAGACATACATTTTTGGCATATAAAAGACATCTTAAAGACGTTTTATGTCTCAATGTGTTGTCTGGAAAGTTACAGTTTTTAAGTGAAAAGACTAAGTAATAAAAATTCTCCAAGTAATAAAAATTCTTTGATTCACATTTGATCAGTCAATAAATAAAATTGGCGAATTGATATTTGCTCATTTGCAGAAAAAAATTTAAATCGCAAAAGATTGACAAGAATTGATATAGCGATCGAGATACTACCTATAATACAAGATAATAATTAAAAAAAATTATTATATTATATATATATTATATGATAAAATTATATTAATGTAACAATACACTGAGAGAAAAATGTCGAAGTATTGCGAAGCAAATGTTATTTACGAAATTTGATTATGATGATGAAATATACATTTTTGTGAAATATATCTTAATTATTTCTGTGAAATATATCTCATTAATTGCAAAAAAAATAGATGGTTTATTTTACTAGGAATAAAATTTTATTTCGCCCGTATTTAAATAAATATTTATTTCAATAAAATTAAATATGTTTCACATGAATATATTTTTAGGCATCTTTTTTTCTCAGTGTATAATTATATATATTATTTTTAAAAAATGTTAATATTTCTTGAAAAAAATGATAATTTAATACATGTATATTCATACTTTTACTTTTTCCTTGATTTTATCCTTTATATTCTTTCGAATCAAATGTCGATTTCTGTTCCTGAAAGGCAGTTTCAAGCTTTTCATCTTTATGCATTTTTTTCATAGTACCGATCCTCCCCCATTCGATAACAGCATTCGATAACATATTACTTACCAGATAATAATACGTTCTATTACATACATATAAAGGAAATATCATCTGCGTATGAAAAACTATCGTAATAGCATCCATCGATGCGAGAGTCGCCTCGCGAGTAGACGGGGAGTTTAAATTTCGAAAAAGTATCTTGAACGCCGTTCCTCCTATCGTTGCGCATGTCGAAAAGTAAAGTCGGCGATTTAAAAAAATCCATGTTTATCGTTTCCATTTTGATTTCACAGGGAAGCAAAACGGCGCAACAAAGAAGCGATTTCTATTTTGTTGCTTTCCGGCCCCGAGAAAGATTCCTACAGGAAAATATGTTGTGTGGAAAGTAGAATATAGAATTTCGCCGAATTCACAAGAATCTACCCCTCGCGTGGTGTGAAGAGCGGCGGAGCAACCAATTAGGAACCACGTTACATCCGCCTGGTCTCCGTGCCGCACGCGCTGATTGGTCGGTCGGCCGACCGTATACCATCGGTCACTTCGCTCCGTCCTAGCGGCCATCATAAACGCCACAACGAACGCGATCGCCGGAATGAGCGGTGCTTTCGTCGGTTTGAATGAACGCGGTCGCGAGTGTGTTAACGTCGACGTCGTTAGTGATTCAATTCTCGATTTCGTCTCAGCTGCAACAGTCGGCATTTACTTCAAGTTCTTCCAATCTCACTTTTTCCTTCCGTTTCCCGTGAATCGTGAATCGTGAGAAGCGTCGCGGCACGCACGCCGCACGTGCGTGACGTGATCGTACGGCTTACGAAGATGGAGGTCGTGCGGAAGGTGCACTACGACGCGTGCGACATGCAGAACGGCGAACTTACCTGGAGCTGCGGCGGCACCGGTGATGCCGACGACAACAGCCCCGAATGCGACATCCTCGACTCCTCGGTCGACGACTTCGACTCGCCGCCGCCACTGCAACCGCGCAAGCTGTTCGACGCGACGGACTGCAACGATGACGAGGGCCAGCCGATGAATAACAACAACAAAATTCCGATCTTCGTTACAGGTTAGAATCTTACATCATTAGAATCTTACATTGAGCTCACTCCGCTCCGCTGGACCTTTTCTACGTTTCGTCGCTTTTCTGCGACGTCACGTATTCGTATTTTATATTGTATTTCATTGTGTGTCGTTTCAAGTACAGAAAGTATAACACGGTGCAGCTATGGAGAACGGAACTTTACACTTATTCTCGGGATTCTCGAATATCTCGAATATTTTATTGCATCCGAATTCTTTGTACTTTTATCTTTCTCTTCCCAATGTCTATTTAACACCTGTTTTATGTGTGTTGTATGTCTGTTTGAAGTGCAGAGAGTGTAATATGGTGCAAATACGAAGAACAGTATTTTACATTTTCTTATATTAAAATTTCTTTTACTTTTTATCCTTCTCTGTCCAATGGCTATTTAACATCTGTTTTTAATATATCCTTCATCGCATGCCGTTTTACGTGTGAAAGTGTAACACGGTACAGCTACGAATAGCGGAACCTCAAACGTTTGTTCGTTTCATTATTTGAATTTTTGTCAACTTTCTCTCTCCACACGTTTAATTATGTATGTTTACTTAATTTAAAATGCAAAAAATACAACGTGATGCAGCTACAGAGATCCTTTCTCTTCGTGCTACGTCACAGCGTCCCTGCCCCCCGGGGCGAAAGGATCGGAAATGACCTCGTGTTTTTTCATTTACGAATTCAATTCATCCGGAAACGATTCCATCTGTGGAAAACGGTTTATGGAAACAGTTCATTTTAAAATGAGGAATGGCGAATTTTTGCTCATCGTGCTAATTAAAGAAATAATAATCAGGACGATTGCGAGTTCATTTCATGCTCTACGCCAGAGAAATTTTGTGAGAGCCCGTTGTATTAAAATTCAATCTTGTCGTTATAAAACACATGGATTTTAAACTAATATTAATAATTTAGGTAAATAAGAGCTAGAATACAGTTATTATTTGTGTCTAATTATACAAAATTTTTTTCCTTTAATTCATACAAACAAAAGATTAATGTTTCGGTTGTTATCTGCAACCATCTTCAGGATAATACATGGATTTTAAACTCTTTGTGTCGATTACCAGTAGATATAAATGTAAGAAGTAGTATCACGCTAGTTTTGTCAGAAAATTTCTGTTCGCACCTGACTCCAGATGACTCTGCATTTCTTTGTGTTATGTTCTTTATATTTCTGTACAGCTGTTACCTCCTGTCTTATAAATTTCTTTCTCTTTTCGTTTTAAGATTTCAAATACTCGTGTGATGTTGAGTCAAAATTGCATTGACGCATGATGCGAAATTATTGATATTGATACATTTGACAATTTTTTTGCATTGTGTATACTTTCTGTAAAATCTTCACTTTCCGAAATTACGATCGTAAATTATACAACATTCTGACTACGATCGGTTTTTTAGTTAAAAAATTATGATAACATCGGTGATTCTAGATTCTCTTTGTACTGATGATGTCATCATAATTGCATGCAATATCTAATTATTACATGCAATATTGTCCATATAAAACGCCTAAACTTATTGACAACACACACACACACACACACACACACACACACACACAATACACACACGTTTAAATAAAATTAATTCTACTTGCTAAAAAGTATTATATTCTCGTAAATAAAATTTTTAATTCGATTTTTTATTGATTTTTCATTTTGTCTAATGAGATAACATTTTATTAACTATATTTAAGTGCGTATACTATCTTATTTTCTTCGTCTTTTATTAGAATTTTTTTTATGATTTGTTGATTTATAAATTTAGAAAAAATTCGTTATTATCTTTATATTCTAATCTATTCCATGATTTTAATATCAAACAATATTTTTGAAGTTATTCTAAGAGAAAAAAATGTAATTTAAAATTATAATAAAAAGCTAATTTAGATCGGTTTTTAAATTATTATCTATGAATTTTATTACAAGCTTTTTATGTGGAATAAATGTTTATTTACAGGTACTCCAGCCATCAAGGCTCCCATTAGTCGTGAAAGTGTTTTTCACAAAAGTTCAATGGGGTGTAGTCCACCCTACAAACGTGTTAGGGCATTACGTCTATTCGATTCGCCTACTACCCCTAAAACTTTGATAGAGAAGAGCGTGTTACAAACTCCGATACCTCCAAGATGTTCTAGATTTTTTACTCTAGAAAAACCTAAACCTTCTAAGATAAGCCCCAGTTACCAGAATAAGTTCGAAAAACCTGCCGCGAATGTAAATCCATTCACACCTACTGGCATGTTAATAACAGCAAAGAAAAGAAGCAGATCTAAACGTAGTCTCAATGGGTACGTATTCAAACTGTATATCTTGTAACTATTATTTATTTTCTGTAAAATCTGTGACTAATTACAATAATAAAGTACAATTAAAATGCTTATCTTTACTATTCACAAATTAAAAAAAAGATATTTTTTTCATATTCGTGACTCTTGCGTGTGTTTGCGAAGATTAAATTGGAGATTTTATTTCTGATATGTTATTTAAATATTAAATTTTAATATTAAAAATGCTAAAATTGATTTGTTATTAAAGTTTTTTATTTGAGAAAGAAGATTTGCTTCAGATTCATAACTACATTACTTTTCTTTCTTTTACAACAGTAGTAATAGTAGTTCACCGGATATGCAAGTACCAAAGTTTGACCTCGTTGACTCCGAAGATTCCGACAACGAATATGAACACGTGACGAAACGTGTAGCACTGCAGGATTCGAATATATCGCGTTATCATAAGGAGTTCCACGAGCTCGGCTTGATCGGGATCGGTGAATTCGGCTCCGTGTACAAATGCATCAACCGGTTGGATGGATGTACATATGCCATCAAGAAGAGCATCAAACCCGTAGCTGGCAGCATTAATGAAAAGAACGCGTTGAATGAGGTGTACGCGCACGCTGTGCTCGGCAAACATCAGCATGTGGTCCGTTATTACTCCGCTTGGGCGGAAGACAATCATATGATCATCCAAAACGAATACTGCAACGGTGGTAGTCTCGCAGACACGATCCTCTTAATGCAAAAACAGAAGCAGTGCTTTAGCCAGGCTGAGATGCGCCAATTGCTATTGCATGTGGCTGAAGGACTGAGGTATATACACAGCATGCAGCTTGTGCACATGGACATCAAGCCCGGCAACATTTTCATCACCAAGGAAAAGAAATTGCGCGCCATCAACTATGACTCCGCAGATGACGGTTTTGACGATGAGGAAAACATCGACGAGGAAATCACATACAAAATTGGTGATCTCGGCCATGTCACATCTATCAACAATCCGCAGGTGGAAGAAGGCGATTGCAGATACCTTACAACAGAAATTCTGCAGGAAGATTTCAATCATCTACCGAAGGCCGATATTTTTGCCTTAGGATTAACCGTTTACGAGGCGGGTGGCGGTGGACTTCTACCGAAAAACGGGCCCATGTGGCATGACATTAGACAGGGGAAATTACCAGACTTGCCACACTGCAGTCGCGATTTGAATAACTTATTGAAGGTATGATCTTATTTCTGAAGTTTAATGACAATTTATTGTTTCTTTTTCTGGCGATCTATCGGACAAGCCTTGTATCACAAAGTCTCAACATAAGTTATTTTAATCTTTTTTACATTGCTGCTTTATGTTATTCACAGCTGATGATTCACCCTAACCCGGAAATGAGGCCATCAGCGATGTCTTTGATGCAACACCGAGTCTTATGTCCGATCGGAAAGAAGACCAAAGCGCAATTACGAAGAGAATTGAACGCTGAAAAACTCAAGAATGAAATCTTATCAAAACGACTCCATGACGCAGCAATGTGCCTGAAATCCATCGCACCGAACGTTGTAATCGAGGGTGGTAATAGCGATCGACAATTGCGACCGATAGCCAGCAGATTATCGTCATCTCGTGTTATAGGCAAAAAAGTTAATCGTAGTAATAGCACTACGAACTTTTGAATCAATTCGTTAAAATTTTGACACCGGTAAAATTTCGAAAGGTCGAACTTAAGGAAGCGATCGATTTCCTGAAGTCACCTTAACATGTGTGATACCGTATCTAGTTTTTTTTTAAGTACGATTGCCCAGTAAAATAAGAAACGTTTACACAATAGAATGCTGAATGAAATTACATACGATTGTAAATGAGCATTCTCCCCTATGATGATTTTCCTAATACGATTGATGTTTATTATATAGCTGTAAACAACGTATAATATCTTACAATTAGTATCCTTATTATACTATGATATGGTTGTGTATTTTTTTGAATTGTTATCGAAAACGAAATTTGTTAGTATACGAGTGTGTGTAGCAAGCAAATAAGTTTACGATTAATTTCTGGAATAACACTGAGGGAGCAAAGTTTGGTTTAATTTAAAGTATAATTTACATTCACACACAAATGTGACAAGATTAATATTAAAATGGAGTTGGTTAGTATAAAATTTTTTCTAAATTATGAAATGAAACTGCATTCTAGCAGGCTAATTTTATGTAGTAAGAGAGTTTTTGAGACCACTCAATGTTCTTTCATGTTTCAATGTTAGTAGAATCTCTTGCACTTCTCGATTCTTTCATTACATACTGGACTCTAAAACTTTTCTTATTTTGATAAAAGGTTTTGATTTAAAACGATTTATTATATCTCGGTATGCAGTGCATGCGGAGTGTAATAAGTAAAAATCGCATGTAAGCGAAATGAAATAACTATTGCGACTTTTACAATTTTTGCATGTTCAATATTTATATGTTATAAAATCTAAAAGTTACTTCACTTTTCAGGAATTATAAGTTTATAAATTATTTTTTTAACGTTTAAACGTTTTTTCTTTTTACTTTATATAAATGAACTTTTTTTGTAAAAATGCACAATGCACGATTGAACAAGTATGTTCTGATGGCATTAATAACAACGAAAATTGTTCTTATATCCTCTTAACCTGCTTTCGCTTGCCGATTGTAACGTTTACCTTACAATCACACCAATGCATGGACAATTTTGTATCCTAGGAAACCAAGTTTTACCTGTACAAAAATAATAAGTACATCCATACACTGTTTATCTTTTATTGTCTTTTTACTTCAAGTCAGTTTTGCCAAAAAGTAATAGGAACATCACTATCTATACATTCTATACCTTTAAGATGTATAATTTAAGTCTTAGCTATAGCGCGAAATCTCAGGATAACGAATATATTTTTCTACTGTAATATAACGTTTTATATGATGCGCTATTCATTACTAAGCTGATTACCAAGTGCCTTTTATTATCGTAAAACTAAACTGTCGTAAAACTAAAAATTTTTATGTAACAATATGCAGATTACTGACTGCATATATAAATTTCAAAAACAATATTTTTATATTAATGATTCGTGATTCATGATTTTCTGTTACAACAAAGTTAACTAAGTATTAAGGCTAATGTAACATTCATTTACATTATGTCTTTACGACTCATGAGAAATTAACGTTTCTTATATTATTTCTATTAGCGTCTTTCTTCTAACAATACGCAATATAATTTTGCAATTTCAAAAATGATTTTATCAAATGATTTTGTCTGTAGCTAATATTTATCTGGAAATTAGTATTATTTTTCTTAAAAATTAACAAAACGACATTCGCACCATGACACTCGATTTAAATGAGTAAAATAAGAAACAGACTTTAATATCTTTTAAATGTTAATTTTTTCGTAATAATTAGCATTTATTTAATAGCATTGGACAAATTAAAGAAATGCAAATTAATGCGCACATTATATATCAAGGATTATTCTAAATATAAGTAACATATGTAAAAATCAAATTTGATAACTAAAAATTGTTTAGTGTCATTCAATTAATTTGTTGCTGTTGGATTAACTTGTTTTGTTTTCTTTTTCTTAAAAATGAACAGGTACGCTTTTTTATATGCAATCTATTTTATATAAAATCATTTTATTTATAATTAAAATAATGTAAAATTAAACACGCGAATATTTAAATACGATTACACATATGAAATTTTAAACTTTTTTTTTAATACAGAATTATAGTTATCTTCAATATTCTTCGAAATTTGCATTGAACTGATGTCATTGACTTCAAAATAATTCTTGATATTGTGTACGCATTCTTTTAATTTGTTTATTAAAATACTATTAAATAAGTGCTATAATTATTACCAAACTTTTTTTTAACGATATAAGAACGATATAAAATTTGAAATTTATTTTTTCAATTTTGGATTAAATCTCTTTGAAAGTATCACAAACTGAGTTTCCTTCAAAAGTAACGACACGAAATTGTTAATATGGATATGACAGTTTCCAATCATGAATGACAAATTAGTTCCTAGGTTTTTTATTACATTCTGTTAATGTTTTCTTCGCATATTAGATCTGTTCGCGCTGCTTGTACTTTTTGTACGCAGCATCTTTGCTTTCTCTTTCTTCAAGGTTGAATATGCGTTATTTCCATTTAAATGCAGAAATTTTTGAAGATATCAAGCAGCGTGAACAGACCTATCGAAAATTTTATTTCAATGCCGAGAAGAACTCGGTGCAAAAACCAATCAATTATATTTTTTAGCGAAAATTTTTGAGTGGACTTAACGATTCAAACATTCCGTACAAAAAAGCGGACAACTTCGAACTAAGTTTATCCATCTTTACATATTTTAACAGTTTTCATAAAATATTTCGCACATACTTGTACAATCGTTTTTTGTTAATATTGTAGTAAGTTTAAAAAAAAATGGCCTTAAATGGTTTTTGCATCGAGTTTTTCAATTGCTACGAATATAAACATTCATATGCTGCTCAGGTAATATGTTAGTGTTCATTTTGCAGGATTTTACAATTTCCCAAAGATTGACGTTAATAGTTAATATACGCGTTGACTTCAGTAAATGTTTCTTCCAAACAAAACCTCAAAGTCAACTTCGTTACTTTATTAAATTTTAAAGCATGCTCTGATCTAATTCGAATCTATGATTAACAAGGGAAGTTTGTAAAATGCTATTGTGTGATTATTTTCTGAGTAATTGAAATGTGCAACTATATGTATAAAGTGAACCATTGCATTTTTTAAGAATGGGGTCGTAAAGAGAAATCATACAGCTATCAAGAATATGTCATTGTTAAACTTAATACAAATTTTTAAATTTGCTGTATGATTGTATCTATAACATCAAATTGTTTTATATATTGTATTATTTTCTTACATTTTTTTTTACAGGAATTATTCATGTAATAAACGTTCATTATATTTTATTAATGTGCTGTATAAAACGATAGAAATTAACAATATAATGATGCAAAATATGCAATTAATTGATTAATTTATAAATGAATTGAACGAATAAATGTAATTGATTTATTAGCTTAATATTAATCGATCAATTAATTAAATTAATGGACAATTTAAGGTAATATAAGCAAAATTTTTTTTTCATTAATATTTGTGTTCTTTATATCGAGATTTGTATCGTTTTATATAACAGAATGAGACATTCTAATACACTTTTATTATACAAACATTATTTTTTACATCCGAGGGCGTTATATTCGAAAAAGATAAAGAATATGCATGAATATTTTTCTAAACGGAAAAGAGAAAGAGCGAAGTTGCGAAATACACTAGCATAATGAACTAAACTTAAACTTTATAGCTTGCTTAAGTAAATTTACGCTTAAACACAAATTGTTTCTATTATTATTATTATAAATGATTAACTAATTATTATATACTTTCTGTTCTTACAGTCTCCATCATGTAATTACGAAGAATGTTATGTTGCGCAAGATCTAACTCGATAGTTTCAACGAGCGCTGGTAAACATGTGTGTGCAAATCAGCGAATTTAGTTCGTAGGAGTCTCTGTAAAAATTAACAATATCTCGAAGTACGTGTTACCTAATTTCGTAATGAGCGTAATGCATCACGTATTGTGATTCGATTGGAAAATTATTGTTAATGTTGTATGATTTGCATTTTTCCTTCATCATTGAATTTACTCCTACTGACATTTTGTGAGATAACATTTCAAAATCAATAAAGAAGAGAGCAAGAAAAATGTATTACTAAACATTCTTATAAGAATTCCAAACTGAAAACCGAACTTAGACAATATCCGCCGTTTTGATAATAAAATGTGATTTAAAGCCTGTGTCTACGATGCTAAAAATCTATCCGAGATCTCGGTTGGAGAAAGAATTGATTACATACAGAGTTGGTAAGTAACGCGTTTTCGTTACAATTATTTTTTTCAAAAACGAAATTCCTTATAAATATTAAAATCAATCAATGAGATAATAAATATGCAGAATTTAAACTCACAATTGACAATGTAAACACAAAAGTAAATGAGAAAAGAAAAATGATGTGATACTCATTCAAATCATCGATAAGATGGTAGTGTCTGGTATCAATTCTCATTGGCTCCGTTTAATAAAAAAAAAAAAAATCAGTTGGTGCTTAGTAATTCTTTAATATGATTGGTTCTTGCCTTTATTAGTTTTTTGCTGAATCTAAATGTAGGAACCAATTGTATTAAAGAATCACTAAGTGTTAAAATCCCAGACACAATGCGAAAATCAGAAACACACTGGAATGTACAATTTCTGATAGATTGAAATCATGTTATTTTTATCGTTATTCCTTTACATTGTGTTCGAGACTTAACTGATTAGTTTTCTCTACTAAACGCAGCTATTGGCTAATTAGAAATATGTATGCGCAATAGCATACCTGAGTGTCTTTCATGATGGAAGGGCTAACATATGTGTGCTCAGTTTGCAAGCGTTTTTCTCTAAGGTTATATCTACACAACTTGCACAGCCGCATAACACATGAGGCATAAGAAATTTAACCAATCAGAGTTCTTTATTTCATAGAAAAGAAGGAAACGAAGGACTTTGATTGGTATATTTTCTTATGTATAACGCATAACACATAAGACATATGAATTGCTATTCTGAAAAATGACGCGTATTTATCAAATTACGTTTGTATTTACATAATAATTAAAATATGACAAACAGGCAAAGTAATTTATTACTGAATGCAGCCCAACAAACGAGTGAATGGAATTTTTTTCTATCTGAATGCGTATTTTAAATAGCGAATACTTTTTTTGGATTCAGATGGATTCAATTAGATTCAATTGGATGCAATTAGATTGAAAAACTGCATTTTCTATTCAAAATTTTGAATTGAACAGTATTCACAATGTGTACAGAAAAAGTTGATATTATTTTTAGATTGAAAAGCATAGAGATATGCTCTATGCAATTCCTATAAATGAATAAAAATGCATTCAGGATTGAAATTCATTTTAACATTCGTGAATTAATATTTCTAAAAATCTGAATCCATTTCAATTCATTTCAATCCATTCTCATTTGCTGGGTACGTCATCAGAATTTAATCTTGATATCGACAAAGTACTATTAAGGCTCCTGAGTATGAAAGGGATAATATGGGCTGTTTTCCAGCTAGGACACGAGAGAGGCTCTGTACAATAAAAAGAATAGAAAACAGAGAAGAATTTCAACTATCAGGAATTATATATTTCACAATACATGATTTCTGATAGGTTGAAATTTTTATTCTCTGTTCTCTGTTCCCTTTATTGTGCGGAGCCCTTTACACTGTGTAAAGTACTCGTTGGAATGCAGTTTAGTTTCATAGTGTAACACCAGAATGTATTGCAATTCTTTCATTCTTATTCTTATAATTATGGGCA